CTTTTTTATTCTGGGATTTATTTACCTTCTATAATTAAAACTTTGTAGCCTTGAGAGGAGCTCAGAGCCGGCCAGGGCGGGCAGTAGGGAAGCTTGGATTCCTGCTCGCTCCAGCTCCGTGGCCACGGCCGGCTGAAAGCAGGTATCTGGGGTTTATTTACCTTCTATAATTGAAACTTTGTTGCTTTGAGTGGAGCTCAGAGCCGCCGCAGCAGGCGGGGAGCTTGGCTTCCTCCATCATTGGGGCAACCAAGCCTCCTGCTTGCTCCAGCTCCGTGGCTGCCGGCCGCCATCTTGGTTGGGTTAATTTGCATATAGTCACTCTGATTGGCTGGTGGGCGTGGCTTAAGGCATAGCAAAGGTACAGTCAATTTGCATGTTTGTCTTTTATTAGTGTAGATAATATAGTATTTCATTGTTTCCCTGAAAGAAAATAAACTTTTAGGAGAAACAATTGTTGTTTTATAAAACACCGGAGAAATATCATTAGCTATAAAGAGTTTTCTGCTTAATCTCTGGAACATATCATTTATTGGCATGTTAGACCCACTCTTGTATCAAGAATCTTATGTTGCATTTTTAAATTAAAATCCACTAAAACATAATTTCCTTTAAATTTCTTAAATTCAAGACAGACAATATATCTAACTTAGAATAATTATAAAATTAAATAATGATGTTTTGTAAAAGATTCCCTCTTCTGAGTTAGATTCATGCCTTCAACTATTTATATTATTAAGCTTGCGGGACTATTCAGGAACAAGATATCTGTTTAGAAATCCCTCTAGAAAGTTTCTTACATTATTTATGTCACTCCTAAAGCTATTTCCCTTTCCCTAAAGAACAGCTGCTTATGTACAAAAGAAAAAAATCATTATTTAGCCAACAATGTTGATAAACAATTCTGGTTTGCTCCTAGCTGCCCCATAGTTGCCTTTTATACACTAAATGGAAGCTCAATGCACAAAATTTGTGCAATAGTAGGCCTTCCTTCCCCCAGCTGCCTGTGCGGGATTCCCTCAGGCACCAGGGACCCAGGCTTCCCTTGCAGAGGGAGGCCCCACCCGCCTCCCTCTGCAGGGCGATCATGAGGCGATGGCCAGCCCGACCAATCACATCACACCTGCCTTGGCTGGCCTGGTGCCAGTGGGTGTCATAGTATGGTCCCGGATGGTCTTTCTGCTGTTCGGTGGATTTGCATATTACACTTTTATTATGTAGGATTGGTTTCCTAAATCTCTGCACTCAAAGATGGTCAAGTAGCCAGTTAATTTAATAGTATATTTTAAATGCTATTCTCATATTCTCTCAATTAGAAGTAAATTTTAATAATTTTTATGTAAATGGTTTTAATCTCACAAGTCAGATCCCCTAAATAGCTTATACAATTTTTGAAAGCTCTGAACTTTTGTTTACTTATTTTCTCCTGCAAGCTTAATATACTTACCAAAAAGTTCCACATTCCACATCATCAAAGCTTTCATCTTGACTCAAAATAAAAAATAAAAAAATTAAAAGCCAAAATCAACTATTTTCAGCCTCAATTTTCAAATGTCATTTGTTTTCACCTAATTCTAGTAAATTTATATAGTGTAATTCTAAACTTCGCTATTTGACATTTCCCTGCTGAAGAAAAGCAGTAGAAACTTTTCACCATCTGTGCTGTTTTGGAAACCAGCCTCTCCCATCTGTGGTCTGGGCCAAGCAGCCTGGAGGGGGGAGGGGGGCTCCTGGCCTTCACAACTGCATTCAGAACGCTATCTCTACGAATTACCAGTTGTTACTCTGCAGTTGAATGTTCTGGAGAATGGCCCTCTATTAATAAGGTACCAACAAAAGAAATAGTTAACTTTCTACATTCAATAAGCCATAAAAGAGAATACCAATTAGGAGAGGGGGAAAGAATTGATAGAAAGACCTAGTTAAAGTCGAGTCTTTACATTTTTTAATAGACCATTTTCTGCTAAATCAGCTAATTTCTGAAGCCTTTGAATTTCAAAATCTTATGGAGTTCAGTTTTTCCAAACATAAGTGCTAAGGAAGTGTTGTTTTTCAGTATAAAGAGGTTCTAACTAACTAGACTTCAGTTGAGGTAGAGATAGGTTCTAACTAGCCTTCAGTTGGGGGGGGGGGCGTTGGTGAGTATATAAAACTTGCCAAACGGAGGGGGGGCACGGGTGGGGGGCGGTCTGCCTGTCTGTTTAGAACGTGGTGCAAGATGAGGTTGCTAAACTAGAAATAACAGAAGGAGGAAGCCATAGAGTCCATTATCTCAAGCAATATACAAATGTGCTAGTAATTTTTGTTTCGAGTTGTTTTTAAACAACTACTACCACCACCACCCCCGAAAAAGTTAATTGGCCTTAAACGGACCTTTAATTCTTCTTCTATTCCCAAACTCTCAACAACTTTGGTTCTCATGCTCTACTCACACCTGTGAAACCTGGCAAAAATCTTGACAAGACAACAAGAGAGGAAGGAGGAAAGGAAAAGGGAGAGGGAAGGGAGACGGGGTGGGAGGGAGAGGGAAGTGAGGGAAAAGTAGAGGGTAAGGCAGAGGGAGGGGGGAGGGAGGAAGGTAGAGGGGGTGGACGAGGGAGAACTGTGAACATGCACTTTGCCACCCTCCTGGCCAACTGAAATGCTGGTTCCAGAGATTACAGTAATTACAGCCCCAGCATGAATTCCATACAAGAGCTAAATGAAACAGAACATCAATTAAAAAAAATAAACACTCCATTCTAGGAGAAAGACAACCCCCCGGGAAGTCCTAACTAGCGTAAA